AAGTATAGTTCCTGAGCTCCCTGTGATACCACCGCGCCGTGTGACTACGATCGTATTTCAACGCACAACTGGCGGGGTCAAAGAGCAACGCTTGAGATCTGAACAAAAACAGGAAAGGATTTTAGTTGAACAGTCACGCGCATACTACTGTGTGTGACATATGTTCTATTGTTACGTACAGCGGTGTGTAGTATCCATTGCAGTATGGACGCGGTGACTGTTACGAAGAGAAAAGGTGCGTGGCTTTGAATATTACATTTTATATTCAAGTGCGGCATCCGGGCTGTGAGTAGAAATACGGGTCATCTACTATGGCTGACACGTCTATATGATGTGTACACTGACAAAGCGCAGAGTTCACATAATACAACCCGGCCTACAAACCGGGTGAGGGATACGACAATCAACCTGTTATTACGTTATAATATTAATATCGAAACTATTTATGCAGATATTACCAATGGGATTACACGTATAAATTTAACAAAAGAGATTGATTATAATCGTATAATATATTTATATCCTGGGAATGCATAAAACGATGACTTCTGTCGAGCAATTAGGTTTAATAATAAACACTGCACGAGAATACAAGCGTTCGGGGTCCGCGTGGCACCATGGTGATGCTTGGGTACGTAAGCACGGCACGGCACGGCACGGCACACATAAATCGGGGATTTTAATTTGAAAGTTAACCTTTGACCTTTGCCAATTTGCCAATTTGTTCACTTATCATGATTTCTGACACACCTGTTGAATTTATACTGTTTTTTTTTTACAGAAATAAAATACTAATACTAAGAGTCTGATCGATTATAGAACCTAAATTGAACAGTCCAGCCCAATCGTTCTGACATCACCATGACGACAAATCCGCACACCGCGGTTCAGGTTGAGAATCCTGAAGTAGCTACTGTCGGAGGTCGATATCCGCCATCGTCGTTATTGGATAGGGGGACAGCCTCGTCCAGTACGAACCATGGAGTCGTGATGCCACGGCGGAGCCGGGCTGGACCGAGATCAAGACGACCACGTGGTTTGCTGCAACCAAATACCATAAGAAGGTAGGTTACCACAATATCAATGCAAATATAATGGTTTTATTTCTCATCTGTATTAATATATGTATATCTCTTTTTATCTCCCACTGTGCCTTTGTTACAGACTTGGTTAGCATAATAAAAACCATAATAAATCCAGAGAAAATAATAATAAATGGGGAATGTTGAATATTTCATATTGAACCCCCATGACGCATTGCAACGTAATAATAATAATAATAATAATAATAATAATAATAATAATAATAATAATAATAATAATAATAATAATAATAATAATAATAATAATATATTTATCCATTCATGAACTTATTTTGTCTCATGCTCCGAGTTATGTTCATAAGGATGTGTTTTCACCCTTCTGGGTTATCCAATCGTCATCTAGCAGTGCCCAGTTCCTTGGACCCTGTCATTCTTCCTACATTAGTTGACAATCATTCCATCTGATACAAAATTACGTTATTGTATTACTAATAATTGGATGAATCTCATTAATTATTAATGTTCATGTCAATATTAATGTCTGTTACGCCGTGTAACGCATAGAATTCTGGTCGGCGTGGAAATATTAATGAGATAGGGCACGAGTTCACACATTTTATTAAATATAGCGCCCCCAATAGTCGTATACCTCGTACAAAAAAGTCATTGACTGAAAATGATGGACGATCTGGATACGTTTCAAGTAGCGATTAAACCACAACGCCGATCATCGGGGCCGTATTACAGAACACACAGGTATTATACCACCAATGTTTTATACATTGAATTATTCGTTATAATATTCTAGCCTAGTAACCGCGTACGAGTGCGGTTTCCTTAAAAATATGGGCCGTATTTATACCGGAAGTTCATCGTTAAGCGGCCATGTCAGGTGACACTTGTTGTAAGTGAATGGCCGTTGGTATTTTGCATAAAATCTCCATAAAAATGCCCTGTGTCAAGATTTAGTACCTTACTCGAACGTTGGACTATTTCCGGCATATACAGCCCTGTCAACATGATGGCAGAATATGAGGAATAAAGGTTCGGTTGTCTATGTCAGACTCGATCGGGTTGTCGACGAACGAACCAGGTAATGAATACCAATCTTCAGTCTACACTACACTATTTTTAGATTTTCAAAACTTGTGGGACTATTGGTACGTCAGGCCACGCTAGACATCCACGTCATTATTTAAGAATTTACAGAACAACCTATAAAATGGCGGCCGGCATGTAAACAGTGAGTGGGTGAGACTTCAGACTTTCTGACTGTGACGACGACGATGCCCTAAGTGTGCCTGTCGCAGGTTGCTCGACTTTTTTTTGAAAATATTAAATGATGGGGTATATACATTACTTTAGGATGAAGCACCAGCCACTACAAACATTAATACTTATATTCGATATAGTCATGCAAATATTGCCGAGTATGGTCCCATATTAGTAGATCCATGATGCAACACAAGGGTTATGTTACCTTATTATTCATAATCTTCTCAAAACAAAAGGACTAAGTGTATAAAACAAAACTTCTTATCCTTGCTCCGGGTGAGTGACAGTATTTTTTTCGTGCTGTCACAAATCACCCTTTAGTGCACTTATAAATAAAACCACATACAACAAAGCAATGTTGTACCAATGTTTGTTTAAGGGATTATGTGACAGCTATTGTGCTATAACAATGTCTCGGTTTTGACTACTCAGATATCAACAATACTTTGAATTTTCATTTTGTGTACCAAAACTGTACTGACCACCCTGTTTAGGGCCAAAACCAAGGCTGTAATGTCTCTTATCATACATCTGTCACCGTAACGCCATAAGTTACAGCGTGCCATAATTTTGCGGTATTTTACAGGGTATTTTCATACTACCATATTAGGAAATGTGAATTCCAAATATGGAATAATTACGCGCGTAAGCGTCCTATAATAATAAACACAAACATGGCTGCCACCAGGACTTGACCGGACTCCATACAAAGAAGTTCGCTGATTCTGTTCTAAACTTTCTGGATTTTGGCATTCCCATGATGTATCCACAGGGAGCCCAGGAACTATGTTCAACTGTTCGCACTCCCTATGAGCAGGGGGGAGGGGGTATCGGCTGGTATCTAGTATAAGAAATAGACAAGGGATGA